TCTGGTTGGATGTTAGCAATATGACTTTGCCCAAACACTTGTAGTTCATTATTTTGGCTCTTTTTCTCTGCATCAGATGATCAACACAACAAACCAATTCACTGATTTAATGGAGCATATTTATTAAATATGTATCCTTATCCAGCACTAACTGGGTGTTATGACAAATCCACAATATAGGTAAAATGTGATTCTCTGCCTTATGGATGGGTGGTGCAATGGATAAAGCATCAGGCCTAGAGTCAGGAAGATCTGAATTCAAATATGGCCTCAGTCACTTACAAGCTATGTGATCCTGTGCAAGTCACTTTACCTTGTTTGCCTCAGTTTCCTCATCTGTAAAATGAGCCGGTGAAGGAAATGGCAAACCACTCCAGTATCTTTGCCAAGAAAACTCCAAATGGGATCATAATGAGTTTGATTCAACTGAAACAACTAAACAATAACAAAGCCCTTATGGAGTTTCTGATCTGATGGTGTGAGAAGTAAATATGCAAAGAACCCTAGTGAAAAAAAAAACTGTGTTAAGTGCCTAAGAGATGTACAACTAACATGCTGTCTGAGAAAGAAAGGATTCCTTTAGGAGGCAATAAATGTTGCTTTTTGGTAGACATGACATTTATGTTAGGCTTTGAAGGATGGGTAGGTTTCAAATAGGAAGAAATGGTAGAGAGGGTACTCTAGGCATAAAGAACTGGGAGAGCAAAGACATAGAAATAGTGATTCATTGATTCAACAATTATAGTTAAGTTTCTACTCTGTACAAATCCTTGGGCATGCCATGTGAGGATTCCAAAATTACTAAAAAACAGTACCTGCATTTGAGTAACTAATAGTCAAATAAATGTATTGCTCTGTCTGTTTGAACTGGTAAGTTGGGATCTTATGATTACAATCCAATTGAAAACTTTATCTGGTAAGTTCCTTGAAGAGTGGAGAAGATGGAACTCATCTTAAGCTTGTATTTTTTTCCTTTCTTTCCTCATAAGCACAAAGAAAGAATGAGGAGAGGAAGAAAGACAAGGGGAGAAGAGGGAAAAAGGAAGACTAGGAAAGGGGAAGGAAGAGAAGAGAAGTAATAATATATAATATATAAATATACAGTAATTACATAACATATACAATAGTAATATAATAAATAATAATAAGTAATAATAGGGGTTCAACAAATGTTTGAAGGGATATCAGATGGAAGAGGAAGAAGAACAATTGTGTTTGGCCCCTGAAGGCAGAAAAAAAAAAAAGGACAAGGGATGGAAATTGCAGAGGAATATATAAGCTATATGGTGGTGGAGAGGAGAGGTGAGAGGTCAGTGGGGATCAAGACAAAATAATAACAGCAAAAAAGTTCTGATGTTTAAAATTGTCCCAAAAAATGGAAATGCTGCTTCTGGAGGTAGTAGGTTACTCATCTGAGGTTCTTCTCGTGTTGACCGGACAGCCACTCAACATGTTTTAGAGAATTCTTGCCCTGATACTGCTTGAATTGGAAGAATTCTAAGGTCCCTTCCAATCCTGTTATTCTAGAATTCTGTGGTTCTCTTTCCTGTCTCTTCAGGACTTTTCTTCAGGTATTCTGCCTTATACAATCCTGTCCTTCCTTGAGAGCATGACATCCATTGCTTCTTTAGTTCTCATTATCAAAACTTATCAGTCCTCCTTTCTAGTATCTCTGTATTCCATTTTCTGTCTTCTAAAGTGAAATATTTGTTAAATTAATCCAAGGTAAGGTGTTCTTGGGTGATACCAGGTTAATGCATCTTTCCTCCCAGGTAATACAATTATATTTTAAAGAGGGCCTGCTGGAGACAAAGAGCATTAACCTCAAGGCATTGTGACTAACTCTGTTTTTTTTTTCCTCTGCATTGTTTCTTCTAGAAGTAGATGTAAGTGGAGTCTCAGAATATTGAAACTCAGCCATGAGCTTAGACCAAAGGCACACTGAGGCCACAGGACAGCTAGGTGGCACAGTGGACAGAGTGCTGGACCTAGAGTCAGGAAGACATTTATGAGTTCAAATCTGGCTTCAGACACTTCCTAGGTGTGACCTTGGGCAACTCACTTAACTTTATCTCCCTTAGTTTCCTCATCTTCAAAATGAGCTAGAGAAGGAAAAGGCAAACCACTCTAGTGTCTTTGCCAAGAAAACATCTAAAAAGGACACAGCTGAATGACAAACCTGAGGCCAATTTTTATCCTGCACTCTGATTTCCAGGGTGTTTATTATTATTATTATTTTTTATCAACTCTGGCCAATATTAGAATTACTAGAACTCCACACAAACTTCTGAGAGTCCCAAAGATAAGTATGTTATTTGGGGAAAGAAGAACATGATTTTCCTAACTTGGGGTAAAGGATCCAGGTGAGAAACAAAATATATGTGGATCATAAAATTATTTAATGAAGGCCTGTATGACAAAGTGGTATGGGAGCAATGTTCTTTGAAAAAATGACTCCATCAAGAACTCACTCACATTGTACAAATCCACAGTAATTACTCTAAAGGAAATTGTTGAGCTGATTGAGAGGTAAACAGGAAGGTCAAGATAATCATCATAGCAGAGGAGATTGGACCTCAGAGATAGCAGTCCTGGAGAAGAAAGAACCGAACAACTAAGGAGTTCTCAAAAGGGAAGTCATATGGCCCCAGGAAATGAGTAAACCACGTGGCTTGAGAGAAAGTATCATTAGAGTATCTAGAGATCCTGGATCCTGTCAGAAAGAGGAGTGGGAGCATTCTTAGATAACCACAAATTCCTGACAAATGACACATAACTGGACTCTTTTCTCTTAAAGAAATGAAGAAGAAGAAGAGGAGGAGGAGGAAGAAGAAGAAGAAGAGGAAGAAGAAGAAGAAGAGGAAGAAGAAGAAGAAGAGGAAGAAGAAGAAGAAGAAGAAGAAGAAGAAGAAGAAGAAGAAGAAGAAGGAGGAGGAGGAGGAGGAGGAGGAAGAGGAGGAGGAGGAGAAGAAGGAGGAGTAGAAGGAGGAGGAGGAGAAGGAGGAGGAGGAGAAGGAGGAGGAGGAGGAAGACATGGTCTCATAAGGGGAGAAATAGCAAGATATTGAGAGACAACATGGAGGGGTAAACCAGGACCATGCCTTCCATTTACAAACATGAGTGTTGTAGACTGAAAATTTGTTACTTTGAATGTATTTTTTTTTCCATTTAGGGCAACCTTAAACCTTAAGGTAGAATTATACAGCTTCAGGCCTTGGGAGATAAAGACTCACTGAAGGATGAAGGATTGTCTCCCTGACCACAAAGCTGGCAGAGTGAGACAACCCTGTGGAAATAGTGTTATGGCTCTTGATGTTGAGGAACAACCAAGACTGCCGAAGGAAGCTAAGAATAAAAAGAGTGGGCAGGAGGTTGTTTTTTTTTTAATTGATTTTTATCCATATATGAAGCAAAAAAAAAAACGTTCAAAGAAAGGACATAACTTTTGCTTGATTGGATGAAGAAATGATAATTAACAATAGAAAGAAGGCAAAGCAATTCACTTCTGTTTTCTTTGCTAAAGGGAATAATGTTTACCATAAGAATGACAGAACAAGAACATGTCTTCCAGAGAGTTGATCCCCACAATGAGTCAGTCAAAAATAAGAGAGTAGTTAGCTGCTCTTGATCATTCAAGTTACTTGGCTACATCAATTCTCCCCTCAAGTGTTTCATTAACTGGCAGATATGACTGCTGAGCTACTGTCAGTAATACTTGAGAGTAGAAAGTAGAAGAAGCACCACAAGGGTGGAGAAAAGCAAATACTGTCCTCACTTTAAAGGAGGAAAGAGAAGAGAACCTACAAACCATAGATTCACTATATGCTCCAATGCTTCTGATTAAATGGTTCATATTTTTCTTGTTAAGAATTTTGAGAGATACAGAATAAACAATAATACAATTAGATCTATTCAGAGTTCTTTGGGAGGCCAAATTCATGGAGTAATCATTAATAATTCAATGTTAGCATATCAGGAAGTCTCCAGTGGAATACCCTCAGGCTCTGTGCTCAGCCTGGTGCTCCTAAATAGTTTTAACAATGTCTTAAATAAAGGTAAAGAAGCATTCTCAAATTTGCCAATGAAGCTAAGCTAAGAGGGACCACTAGCACAGACAATGACAGTCAGGGTCCCCAAACTCCTTGGCAGATATCCAGCATTGGGTTGAATTTAATACGGTGAAATTTAATGGACATAAATATTAAGTCCTACATTTAGGTGTAAAAGGTCAATTTTATAAGGACAATATGGGTAGGCATGGTTAGACACCAATTTGTCTAAAAAAAGACATAAAGGTTTTCATGGACTGCAAGTTCAAAATAAATCAGGAGTTTAATATGGAAGCCAAAAAGAAATGCTAATGTAATCTGGGTTGCATTAAGAGGGCAATCGCTTCCAGGAATAACGAGTAAATAGTGCCTCTGTCAAACCTCATCTGAGTAGTACTCAGCTCTTGGCACTATAGTTTAAGGAGGACTTTGATAAGCCAGAGAGTATCCAGAGGAGGTCAGTCAGGATGCAAATGGGCCCTAAGACCATGTGATGTGAGTATCAATTGAAAAAAAAATGGGGATATTGAGTTTGGAGAAGAGAGAAGATTCATAATTACCATTTCTTCATCCAATGAAGCAAAAGTCAAAAGATACCTGTATTAAATTATTTTAATTACATGTTGAAAGAGATTAAGCTTGTTCTATCTGGGCCCCATATAGTAGAATCAGGAGACATAAGTAGCTTCAGATAGGGAGATAATAGGCTTGATAGAAGGAAGAACTTCCTAACAATGAAAACTGTCCATAAAAGGGTTGGACTGCCTTGAGAGATGAGGATCGGTACACCATCCTTATAAATTTTCAAGCAGACACTGGAGAATCATTTTTCCTAAACATTATATTGGGAATTCATTTGCATGTGAGTTCAATTATCTGGCTGCTGAGGTCAACCTCAACACTTTGATTCTGTGATTTTATGTGATTTTACCTGCAAAATGAAGGGCTAGAATGCCTCTGAGATCCTTTTCAGATCTAATTCTAGAATCCTATTACATCAGTTGGCCTCAAATGAATTTCCCTTTTGGTGGATTTCCAATCACAGTGTAGAATTCTGAATCCGTAGGAATATATAGGTTCCTGAAGTGGAGGGACAGTAGGGTAGGAAGATGTTAACCTCCAGAAAGGGAACAAAAGTTGTCTTGACTGTTTGTGGACTTCTTTGAGTCTTTTGTGAGTTCTTCATTATCTGTGGGTAGAAATAAAAATCTTTCTTGTGTACAATATACATTGTTCATTTGTGTGCTTGCATATGAACTGGAAGACATTTTCTTCCACCCCTAGGATACAATTTAGTCCATGTAAACTCCAGTCCATGTAAACTTAAGGTTCTGGGTCATATGTTACAGAGACATTTTGTATTTTAAAAATCAAAGATCGATGGGTAGCTCACATGTACAACTCCAAACTAAAGATTGGTTCCGTCTATTTCTGACCTTTTTTTTTTTAAGTTCCATCATTTTTCTGGCAGAAAATCTGATTTCAGTCCATATTGCCATTTTATCATTTCTCACAGCTGCGGCTGTGATCACAGCTTTAGAGCGGTGGAAATGTTTGTCACATTTAATATTATGCTCCCATTTTTCGCATATGTGAAGCCAATCCATTTTGCTTAGATGATACTGGAATTTAAGGAGGCAGTTGCTATTGCAGCTACATACATACATATGTATTTAATAACATGTTCTAACAAATCTAATCCAATATGTACATCAAAAATCACATCTCTGGGATGTCCTGGAATTGAAGAATTTGGTGGTAAAAAGGTATTGAACTTAGAGTCAAGACACAAGCCATTTGTGTGACCTTGGGCAAATCAGTTCCTTTCTTTGAGTCTAGGATTCTTCTTCTATAAGATGAGTGGATTAGAGTAGGTGAACTCTTACTATCTCATCCAGTTTTAATATTCTGCTCTGTAGGGTCCCTTCCAGGGTTAACATTGTGTGTTCTATGTTCTGACACTCTCTACTTCAGATCCCTTTAAGCTCTGACCTTCTGTGGTCCATATTCTACCATTTTATGTTCAAGGGCTTCTTCCAAGTTAACATCCTCTGTTTCTCCTCCTGGTAACTGTTGAATAATCGAGGCTGGTATGGCTCAATGCAACTAAGTCAATAATTGCTGTGTCTGGCAGGTGCAGTGCCTTGCTTTTGGCAGTGACAAAGATAAATAAGACATGATACTTGTCATCATTTCCTTTATGATCCAGTTCTACCTATCTTTTCTATAGTCTTAAAATATTCTGGCATGTCTGTGACTTATTATCATTATAATTATTTGGATCTGTGGGCCACATATCCTCCAATGTGATCCAGTGTCAAATATTCTCAGCTTAATGTTGTAGTCTTCCAGAAATAGTATCATTGGTGTTCTTGAGATGGTTGTAATGAGGGAAAAAAAAGTAACAAAAACCCCCAAGATTAGTTACAGTTAAAGGAGGCAGGAAAGATATTGTACAATGAAGCAATGTGTCTAAGGTTGAATTTGTAAGTAGAAGAAACTTGGTAAATAGCAGAGCCAGTTTCTGGAGCCAGATCTTCTTACTCAGATCCCAGTTCTTTGTTCCCCTCTACTACACTCATAAAGAAGAGGAGGCTACTTGAAGTATCAATGAAGAGTGGGGACAGATATTAACAACATGGTGCCACCATTGAAGAACACTGTCCAAGGCAGAGAAATTTCATAAGAAAAATCACCACCTTCCCAATGTGTACCACTGCCTTTCATAGTGCTCCTCCTCTCTAATTTCATTCATACTTCCCTGGCTTTCCAAAAGTGCTATGAAGGCTGTCTGTCTCTCTGTCTGTCTGTCTGTCTGTCTATCTATCTATCTATCTATCTTTCTATCATTTATCTCTGTCTACTTAGCAGTTTATCTTTTTTTTGTTTATTCATTCATGTGTGAATCAATTCATTTGTTCATTCATTTATTCTCTAATCTTTGCATGCATGTATGTATATGTGTGTATTCATTACCTTTCACTCAGTCTTTGTAATCTGTAATTCCATTAACTGTGCCTTTACTTATCATGACTTTTGAATTATATTATACTCTCTTTCCTTTTGAAAATTCTTTACCTGTCATCAGTGATCCTTCATCTCTGAATGCATCACCTATCCCCTTGTTAGGTGGCTAGAAAGAGAAAAAAGCACAGAAAAAAAATAATCTCAATCTTGTCATGAGTCAATGTAATTTTTTTTTTTCCTTGAGAGGTTCCTCTTTGGGCCTAACTCTGAAAGTAGTCACTTGCTGGCAAAAGGATTCAAAATCCCCTGGGATCTATTTCTGCTCTGTCTAGAATATTTATTCCAGGAGAGGATCAAGAAAAGAAGGGGAGAAATCAAAGTGATAATGTGGGATCCCTGGAGTAGCTGCACACCTCCTACCTCTAATCCAGCTGCTCAGGAAAGCTTAGCACCAACACTCATTTCTCTGTGCATGGAGCCAGAATCTCCTTTGTCAAAAGCCTTTGAAAGGTAATACAGTAATTGATGTGTGTGCAGGTAGGTTTGGCCCAGATCCCAAGAGGCTTAACAATAAATTCCCAAATTGGTTAAAACTTGATGCTGTTCAGGTGGGGAAGAAGTTTGTACTTCCCCACCATTATTTATGGTGTAGAGAAAGGGAACCACATGGATGATGGATCTGCTTTTATCTGATAAAAATGAGAGAAACAGTGAAGGGTCCTGGTGAGCTATTGCACAGAATTTCCTCAGGACATGTTAAAAACATATATTAGAGAAAATGAATTTTTTTGCTGGCTAAGAAGCATCCATTTACAATGGAAACATCCATATATTTATGTGTGTTTTTCACCCTTAAAATAGTAACCCAGGACAGAATAACAAACAATCTCTTAATAGTACTCATTTATCAGGTTTAGCTTAAAAAAAATGAGAGGGTTTGAAAAACTTGAAAATAACTAAACAGATTCATAGAATCACAAAATTCTGAGATAAAAGAGATTCAAGGTCTCCCAGTACAACCTAAAGAAAGAATTCTCTGTAAAATATTCCCTACAAGTGGTCATCTAACTTCCTTTTGAATACTTTTAGTAATGAAAAACTCACTGTTTCCTACTCTGTATTATTTTTAGACAGCTTAAATTATTAATAATACTAGCTCACATTTAGAAATCATTTCACATATGTTATCTCATTTGAACCTTATGGTAACCTTGTGAAATAAGTGCTATAGTTATTATCATACCCATTTTATAAAAGCAACTAAGTGGTTCAGTGGAGAGAGTGCTGGGAATGGAGTCAGGAAAACCTGAGTTCAAATCCATCCACTAACACCCAACTCATTCCTAGTTGTGCAATACTAAGTAAGTCACTTAACTTCTATTTACCTCAGTTTCTTCAAATATGAAATGGGCATAACAGCACCTGCCTCCAGAGAGATAATCAAATGAGATAATATTTATAAAGTGTCTAGCAAGGAGTAGGCACTTCATATGTGCTTATTCCCTTCTGTTTCATCCCCAGTTGATTAAACTGAGGGTCAGACAGGTTAGATGACTTGCTGATGGTCACACAGCCAGTAAATCTCAGAAGTTGGACACAAATCCAGGTCTTCCTGACTCCTGGGAGCAGCTGACAATAAGTTAATGGTACAGCCAGACCTTGAATCCAGGCCTTTTGAGACTCAGTCAGTTCAATTCTTCTTCTGCTACACAACATTGGCTTAAATCTGCCTCTGTCTAACCTCTATCCTTTGTCCTTCATTTTCCCTTTTGAGGTCAGACAGAAGCATAACAGTCTTTTGAATACCTGAATCGAGCATTCATGCTTTCCTCCTTCATCCACTCACAAATCTTTTATACACTAAAAATCTCCAGTTTGTTTGATTGATTAGCACATGTACGGATGTCCTGACCCCTCATCATTTCAATTGCTTTCTCAATTTCCCTGGAATGGATTGTGCATTCCAGGATTGTTCTTGTCACTATCCTTTGTAAATCTAGAACCAACCAACATACTCCAGATGTGTACTGACCTGGATGGGGGAAAGGAAAAAAAGTCACTTTTTTTTGTCTTCTGAACTTGCTTTCAAGTAACGCCCTGAAGACTCTTATCCACATGAACTAGTCATGTTTCCCCCATAATGTACTTTTTTTGTAGACTTTTTGGACCCAAATGAAAAATTTTACATTTGTTCCTATTAAAAGAGAGCATCTCTCTTCTTTGATTGAATCAAGTTATTGTGGAGCACAAGCACACTACTAGTGTTTCATTATGCATAGATCCCCTTTTAAAAATGTTTTCAAAGTTAAATGAACTGATGCAAAGTGAAATGTGCAGAACAAGGAGGACATTGTACACAGTAACAGCAATATTGTGTGAATAACTTAGCTATTCTCAGCAATACAATGATCCCAGATAATTCCAAAAGACTTATGATGAAAAGTGTTGTCCATTTCCAGAGAAAGAACTAGTGGAGGCTGAATGCAGATTGAAGCATATCTTTTCTTTACTTTCTTTATTTTTATTGTTCCTTTTTGTTTTTCTTTCTTTCACAGAATAACTTAAATCAAAATGAATTTTGCATGACTATACATGTATAACCTACAAAAAATTACTTGCCTTCTCAATGAAGTTGGAGAGGGGAGGGAGGGAGAGAATTTGGAACTCAAATTTTGAAAAAGGATAATGTTAAAATTGTTTTTACATGTAATTGAAAAAATAAAATATTAAATATTAAAAAAGAAATGTTTTCATTGTGAATTATTATTTTGTTTTAATGTTTTTGTGAAGTCAACATTGTATAGCAGAAAGAGAACTGGACTTGGAGAAAGCCATTTTTCTTTCTTTGGCCTCAGTAGTACAATCTGCAAAATGAGGGGTTATATTAGTTTATATCTAGCGTATTTTTTATTTTGTTTTGGCCTTCTTCTTTCTTCTCTAACATTCTTTATTTAAAGATACGTTCCAGCACTGACATCCTATGTTCTGAAGTCCTTTCTAGAATGAACCTTCCAAGATCCAGGTTGCCTATTCACAATTAGTTACTCTTAGGCATATGAAAATGGGACTCAATCCTCAAATGCAAAAGCTACATTCTGCCTTTTCTAATAGCACTTTTCCCTATAATCAGGTTTTTATTTGCCAAAGATGCTAAATTCTCCTGGTTCTGAGATAATTAAAAAAATACATTCTAACAATTTCCCAGGCTTCCTTTGTTCATTAAACACTTTTTTCTCTTTTGTTGAAAATTACGCCTTGTTGTAAAGGGCATTGGAAACAAGGATTTTATTTGAACCGAGGACAAAGTGAACAGAAATGCTTCACTAATTATCTTACTAATTATTTGAACCGTCTCCCTTTTGACAGTATAATTACATTAAAGTAGGTGAAATGTCTCAATTATTTGGGGAAAAGAAAAGAGAAGGTCCCCCGCCCCCTGAAAACTTTATCTGAACTCGAAGAAAGTGTAAACTTTCTAAAAATAGGAGGCAATTTCTATGTCTCAAGACCCATGACAGGCAATGTGGTAGTTCTCTCTCTTTTAAATTACCAAGAAAAAAATGTTTTGTGAATAAACTCTATTTATTCAGAAGGTGCTTTTCCATTACCACTTACCCATGGTCCATATGGTTTTTGGTCAGGGCTGGTTTCTCAAATTAGAATGTGTTGAACTGACTGGCCCAAAGTGAAATAAATAAAACTTTCATATCTACTGGGCAGCTGGTGGAGCAGTAGATAGAGTGCCAGGGCCAGAGTCAGGAAGACTCATCTTCCTGAGTTCAAATCTGGACTCATACACTAGCTGTGTGACTCTAGGCAAGTCATTTAACCCTGTTGGTCTCAGTCCCTAATCTGTAAAAGGGTGTGGAGAAGGAAATGGCAAACCACTCTAGTTCTGCCAAGAAAACCCCAAGTGAGGTCATAAAGAGTCATACACAACTGAACAACAACTGAAAATGGAAATTACTGACTAAATTGTCTACTATGCTCTTATCACTAACTTAAGCATCCAAGGATATGCAGACAAAAGTGACTGGACCCTGCTGTCAGGGACTTACTTAGCTAAGTGACACACTCTGTCTCCTGTACAAACATATGTGCATATGTATATACACACACACATATATATATATATACACATATATACATGTATACACACATGCAAATATATAGATACAGATACAGGTACAGATACAGATACAGATACAGGTACAGATACAGATACAGATACAGATACAGATACAGATACAGATATAGATAGATATAGATATAGATATAGATATAGATATAGATATAGATATAGATATAGATATAGATATAGATATAGATATAGATACAGATACAGATACAGATACAGATACAGATATAGATATAGATATAGATATAGATATAGATATAGATATAGATACAGATACAGATATAGATATAGATACAGGTACAGATACAGGTATAGATATAGATACAGATACAGGTACAGGTACAGATACAGGTACAGATACAGATACAGATACAGATACAGATACAGATACAGATACAGATACAGATACAGATACAGATACAGATACAGATACAGGTATAGATACAGATACAGATACAGGTACAGGTACAGATACAGGTACAGATACAGATACAGGTACAGATACAGGTACAGGTACAGGTAGTGTACAGGTACAGATACAGATACAGATACAGATACAGGTATAGATACAGATATAGATATAGATGTAGATGTAGATGTAGATGTAGATATAGATATAGATATAGATATAGATATAGATATAGATATAGATATAGATATAGATATAGATATAGATATAGATATAGATATAGATATAGATATAGACATAGATATAGATATAGACAGAAAGAATTTTATTTGATTACAACACTAGAATTGGAAGCTGGGAGGGAAATCAGGAAAGTTTTTACATAGAAGGTATTGTTTAAGCTGAACTTTGTAGGAAACTAGGGATCCTAAGAAGTATTCTTGATGTTATTGATCCTTTATTCTCAAAGGGGACCAATGACATCAGGAGGGTGATGTCTTGACTTTTGCATGAATTGAATTTAAGTGAGGCAGAGCTGCATAAAGTCATCAGTTTCCCTCTCTCTTTCCGAGTCATAGGAGTCCGTTGGCAAGACATGTGTCAAGGTGACTGGTAATGG